AAGTGATTACAAATGAAGAGCAGCTAAACCAGGAACACTGAGCAAAAGGCTAATTTGTAAAAAGCTACATAAATTTAATCATATTTTTTAATAGCGTAAAAATGGCAGCGGTGTTCTGAGTTCATCATTCAAGCATATTTTTAGCTGATAAATATTTCATAAAATGTTTGATTTTTTTATTATAATTTAATGCCAACAAATATTTATATAGTAAAATAAAATTTTATTAAAAAAAATGTTACACATTCTCCTATGTTTTTTGAACGAATTTTGGAGTCATTAAAATATGCCCAGATATAGTTTATATTTCTAAGCATTAAGGAATTTACACAAGAACATTAAAATAATTCGAAATGCTGCGGAATGTTATCAATGATAGTTCAGTCTAAATATATCCTTCGTAAACACTGTTACAAGTATTAAAACCACTAAATAAATGTCCAATTTGGCGTTTTTTTCCAGTACAGTACCAATGAAGAAGGGGCGCTGGGACAGTCGTTTTGGGGGCATGGAGTAGCGCGTCGGGGGAAGTGCGCCCTATGCCATGAGCACTAATTACGCCCGGCGAACAAATGGCAGCGGCAATGGCAACTGTGGCGACAACGGAAGCTGCAGCTGGCGCAGTCTTGACTTGGTTAACAAAGCGCAAGCAAAAATAATAGCACCGCCACGGCAACAACGACAACAACATTATTAACAAAGAACCGGGCTAAGGCAACAGGGCAACACAAAAATAAAAGAATCTCAAATCCAACTTTAAAAATAAATACGTATAAAAACAAGACATGATTTAAGAATCTTCCTTGGTGGTGCTGCTGCTTGGCAACTTCGTTCTTTGCCAATTTCTGCGCTGCTCTATAAGCCGGAAACCATAAAAAAGCAATTCGTTATTAAAACTGCATAACAGAGAGGCAAAATATCCAATGCGAGTAAAGAAGGTTAAAAGTTTAAGAGAAAAACGAACTGAAATTACTCTAACCCTTCAATAAAATTTAAATAAATAATTTATATAAGCTCTTTGAAGACAACATGGCGGATGATTAATATTTAAGCAGTAAAACTATTTATGTAGCTGGTACGAAGTGAACCGTTTAAAAATCTCTACATCAAATTGCGGTTGAGTAGTTTTTATTCTTACAAAATGTATGTGTAATTTGTAAATTTATTTATTTACCTATACAATGATAACAAATATTTTATAATTATTAGTTTATTAAAAAGATCGGAGCTATATCTGCTAGATGCAGTTTGTAAATGATTGAATAAAGGATTGATCTACCTGAAAACCATATTATATTACGTCTTAACTCCATCCCCTAATTGAAGCATTGTGCATGCTAATATATTAAAAATACTTCAAGTAGTAGAAAGCACACATTAATCCATAAATAATTGAACTTTCTACATTGCAGATTACGTTTTCCCAACATCACAAGCAATTTGTGTTACCCACTAGAAAGTATGAGAAAAACGCTGGAAAAATATAGAGCGGCAGGAGGAGCCGTACAATGCATATTGATAATGCACATAACAGCCATAAGTAACTGGCATCCTGGCAGACAAACGTGACCCCAGCAGAACCGTCAGGGAAGGCAGGAAAAGCGGGAAAAGGCAGGAAAAGCTGAAGAAAATGGTCGAGCGTACCAGCGAGCGAGCGAGAGAGAGAGGGTGCGTGACGAGTGAGCGAGAGGGCAACACAGATGCCGGGCGAAGCAAATGACATGCAAATAAATGAGAACAAAGGGATAAACGAATGGCCAGAGCCAGTTGAAGTTGGCACTGCATTTGCTATTTGCCATTTCGCCATCGCCATCGTCCGTCGCATTTCCAGGCATCGCAAACGAGCCGCATAATTTTTGCCGACTGCACTTTGCGGCCAAGGCGCCGGAAAAGGCCGTCCTGGCCCCGCTTCACCCCGGTCCTCCAGGATCCTCTGATGGTTCCTGCTTTAATGAAGTATAACGCGACCAAATGAATGGCGTATTAAGCGAACGTTGCCTTCAGTTGCACTGCAAAAAGTTAAGTCAGATATTGATTTTTTACAAGATAGTTTGGTGTTTTTATGTTATATTTGTGAACTATATCAAAAATAAATTTAAATATGTTTATTTTTTAATAAATGCTACAGCTTAATTGATTACGCTTATAACACATTTGTCCAAAATGTCTAATGGTATTTTAATACAATTTTGTAAAAAAGAATATTGACATAACTGCTGATGAATAACTTTTTGTAATGCCGTTTTCGAAAGCCTCTGAGAAATTTCATTTAATTGTTTATAGATTATTTAACATTACCGCTGTATGATTAGTTTTCTATTTATTCATTTAAAAGAATTATTTCTTATAAATCTTCAATTAATAAGACCATTTTTTACTTTTCATTCTTTTTATAGTAGAAAACTATATATTTTTTAAAATGTACTGTACATTAGCTTAAACACAAATTGTTCTGTTGGATAAGTTTTAAAATTTAATTAAAATAATAAATACAAAAACGTCATATATGTATTTAAACACTAATTTTTTGATTTTTGCTCAGTGCCCGCATTGAAAGGTGAGAATAAATCAAGGTGGGCTGCGGATGCGGCTGCTGCTTCAGTTGTCGCCGTAATTTGTAAGTCGAGTGGGAAACAATATTTTTCCATCCGCCCTGGTGACCCGAGACAATAAGCATAAATAACATAAGCATGGAATATGGCATATGGATGGCATGCCAGCTGTAATAGACAGCGAGTGGACATGGACTGGCTGGCTGGCTGACTGGCAGGAGAAGTCCATGTTTGGTGCCTCGGATTCTGGATTCTGGATCCTGGCTGGGCTCCAGGACCCAGTCCCTCCAGTGGGCCATCCGACGGCAGGACCTCTCTTTCGCACCCTCGTCCTTTGCTGATTAATGCTTGTTTGTTTGCATGGCCGTGTATCACTAATGGAATTCACATGTTGGGACATGACTGATTATGTACACATTAGTCGACTGATTTGCAATTCCAAGTGTGAGCGAGTGTATGAGTGAGTGTGTCATGTCCTGTTTCGGGGCCAACTTTTCCACTATGTATATGGCCGGGAAAACAATGTTGCAAGCCCTACTATTAGGTGCGGGCCTTCAGCGACTCCGCCGACCGACTGACTGAATCTACGTGTGAGTGTGGCACGTGTCCCGTCGCCTGTCGACTGTCGCCTATCGCACCATCCACCTGGACCGCCGCCCGCAAAAGGACCTTCCATGACTAAGCACATTATGTAGGATCCAACCGGCGCTAATTGGCAGCCGCTTTTGTGTTCGCCACCTTCGCCTAAAGCAATTTTGCGTGCTCGATAATTTGCTCACGGCGATACGACGCGAAATGCATACCCACACCTTTCAGTGTACTCGAACCGTAAGTGCAGGGCTCCTTTTTAAATTGTTTAATAAACATGCACGGCAGCAGCGGGTTTGCTTAACAAATTGACTCTTTTGAAAGGCACTTCTGGATTCCATTTGCCGGAATACAATGAGTGCAGGCACAGGCGACAAAGGCTGCCAATACTGTTTTTATAACAAAAAGGTGCAAAAAGTCCTAAAAAAAAAAACAGTTTAAACAATGGACGTAAATATTTCTACAAAATATTAATAAATGTAAAATAAAATCTACATTTACTGTGCTTGAATATTAAAAAATATTTCAAACTGCATGTGTACGTCAAAAATTCAACCACACCAGCTTAATAAAAACAGGCTTTTATATTTCCCTGTAAAGTATAATCCTTTACAACGCTGGAAAAATAAAATATTTTGGTGGCCTGGGTTTTGGGAACTCAGATATATACTGATTCCGGATTTGGAGCGACAAATGGAACTCGAAACGCCAAACTATATAAAGCGTGACTTAAGCTTCCAGCGGCGTCATTTCCAGCTTAATTGGGCATGTAACAAGCACAACTTTAGCTTTTAACTTGCACTCACATACGTGCTGTGGCAGTGCCAAGGATATGCAAACAAAGCGCAGGAGGACCTCCAAAACTGTGCCAAAATTCCCCCACACTCCCCAAAAACGTATCATCCTGGTGTGTGTGTGTGTGTGTAGGTGTGTGTACATCGCGTTATGGTACTCGTATATGTTTTGTCCATGTTTATGTTTGCCGCCACAAGTACTTGTGTTCAAACTCCTGCAGGACCCTCACACCTACACAAACACCGAGGAGCCGACACGTGCGTTTAGTGTTAGTGTTTGGTATGGGAAAATATTGGGTTGCGCCGATGATACAGTAGCACCTCCACCGCCCCCCAACCAACTAATTGCCCCCTAAGTTCAACTACAAAAGGCAATATTTTTCCGTTTTTCTTTACCTCCACGCTGCGGAAATCAATCAATTTCCTGCGTAGACTTGCCATTCTGATGGATTTTTGCACTCGACGCTCTGTATATAAAATGTATTGAGTACTGGATAGTTGAACACCGACATTGATTATGTCGGCCGGTGAGTCACGCGGCGGGTGTATGAGAATTCTTATATAATTTAATTAAAATTGCTCAGTGCATTGTGTGCCATGTGGAATGCATAAGCGTTGCGGGCATTCTAGCCAAGAAAACTAATTAGTATGGAGAAAACACAATAAACAAGAAATATTTATGGCATGCTAGCAATCAGTGAATATGATTTAATTTCTAGAGATTGCCTTGTTTTTCTGTTTCTAAACGGGGCTCACTGATATTAAAGCAGTTTTCTTAACAGTCTGTGTAAAGCGAAAATGTAATTATTAAAACTCACGTGCATTTGATTTTTACGGATTTCCAAAAGTCGGTTCAATATACGGCCAATTTGTTAAGCTAATTGGATTTTCTATTGTTATTTTATGTTTACCTACCAGCAGTCAAATGTAAAACTGGAAAATATTAGCAAAATAAAATTTTAGGTAATTTAAAACTCACTTTTGTTTAAATAATTTACGTATATTAACGTGCTCGTATAATTTTAGCCGTGGTTGATTTGTGAAGTGAAATGCCTACATTTCCATGTTATGTTTTTGATATTCTATGCTTTTTATTGAACTTGAATATATAAATAAGTTAATTTATTAAAAAAATAAATAATTTCTCTTAAGTTATATTTTATATAAGTTAAAGTCGTAAGGTAAACTCATAGGATCTGGTCGCTTTCCTTTCCTCGAATTCCCTCTAATTATTCCACCCCTGCCTGCTCCTCCTTTTCCACCTGCTCCTCCGTTTCCTCCTGCTCCTCCATATCCTGATCCGGCTGCACTTCCTGGTTGACCTGGTCGACCAGGTCGGCCAGGTATTCCCGAACCAGGTCGGCCAGGTATTCCCGAACCAGGTCGGCCAGGTATTCCTTGTCCAGGTCTACCAGGCTGTCCTGGCGAGGCAAATGAGCTTACCTCTCGGATACTCCTCTGATTTATTGGTGGACCCACAGGAAACACCTCCTCTTCGACAGCTTGACCTAAAGAAAACACATCTTAAAGTTAATGTATAACATAACTTGCTTATTATCACCTCTGTGCATTAAGCCAAGGCAGCAGATTAAAGCCAATGTGTATACAGTTCTCATTTCTCCAGTTGACTAATCCGTTTGGGCTTGGGCAATACCTTATATATAGCCCTTAGGAAGCGTGAGTTACAGATAAACCTCTCACTTTTTACAATTGAGCGTTTTGGGAGAGAAAAATGTAACCTAACAGACCAACGTATATTATAGAATCATGATGTAAACTAATGAACTATAGACTAGACTTGTTGAATCCCCTGACAAAACCAAGTTATTCAAATAGTCGATTATTGGACAAGGCAGGATCATGGAGTACGTCTATATCAGTAGATTCAGGATTTGATTGTTGGGGTTTTTAATACAATTTTTTATTAGGGCATACTTTTTAATAAAAATTTATTTTTTCAGTTTTTAAACGAATGTGTGGGAGTTTGACGGTCGTAATCTTTTTATCCCACTATATAAACACAGAGGGATATCTTATTCGTATTAATATGGGTAAATGAGCGAGCAGAGAGATCTTCATAAAACAATACCTCACCTATATTAGCATATCTTATCGAACTAAACTCTTTTAAATTTATTTTCTTAAATCACTTACATTACCTTGTAACCCAAATGAGAAATGGTAAATACAAAATATAAGAAAATTTAAAAAAAGAAAGGTAACTTGAATGGTTTAATGAAAAGGTAAAATAATATCTTAGGCAAGTAAGAAATCTATCAAAGTCTTATTAAAGATGTATAAAACACAGAACTGATTTGTGATTAATATACTTAAAAGTAAATGTTGAAAATGGCTCTTCTAGATACTAACGCTGATAACCAAATGAGGGTGCTTGATGGAGTATCGGATTGAGTGGATCACCTAGAGGCGTGTTCGAAGAGCACTCCACGTTGAAGAACCCGTGGAGCGACTGAATGTCTATGGAAAAAGCAACGATGACTTTCGATTTTCTGTCAGGCTTCTCGGCACCCAATACCCATTTTCCGTTTGTCAACGTTGCTCTAAAATATATGTTTATTTTTTCGAAATATTTTTCATGGCACATCAGAGTCTTAATAAATACTACAAAAAAAAAACCATGATGAGCTGCTGCCCGGGCACAAAAGCCATCAAATCCGTCCCAGTGCCAGTGCGAATGCCACGCCCCCTCCATTCGTGACGCCCCAATCCAAATTTTAACTATGACGCTGACGAGCTGCTGAGATGCTGCGCTGCTGGGACGCTATGCTGTGCATTCCCAATGGATTTGCTCGTGCGTGTCGACAAGAATTTCAATTTGCAAACAATAAATTTGAGCAGCCAGTCGCTCCTTCGAGGACGACCACTGGTGCGCATGGAACCAAAGAAAAGCCGCAAAAGAAAAAAAAAATATAAATAAAAAATAAACGGACTCCAAGCAATGTTTAATAAAGAAGAAATATTTTGCTTTTCACTTTGGCGTCGCATTGCAAGTGACAGTTGACAATCCCAATCCTCGCACTTTTGTTCCAAGCCCGGCAAATAGAATTAGATTCCGAATTAGGACTAATACAGCGTTTCAACTTGATTTGAAGTCCTGGCAGCCGAGGACTCGGGACTTTAAGCGGCGGAGGGAGAGCAGACAGGAGCGGAAGCGCAGAACAGAAAACGGAAATGAATCAATTTCCGTGCTGCAGACCATTAAAAACTACAAAAGCCCTCCAAAGAAACAGACGAAGTACGGGAAAACGGGAAACAAGAGGCGGCACAGCAAAATAAGCTTTTCTGTCTGACTCTGCATGAGGGATGACCTATGACCCCGGGAAGCTGCTAGTTAATGAGTTTGCGGTCTGATGTATAAAAAACAGTAAAAAAGTAATCTCGTATAAAAAACTTCAAACGAAGTTCAATATTTAAATTATTCTGCTCAACTTTATCATATTTTCTTCATTATTTTCATGGTCATATCTAAACAGAACTATTTACATTAGCATTGTTTGTAACATCTACAGATTCATTGCTACAAAATAAAGTATTGATAAGACTTTAAAAAAATTCAAAAGTTGAATTAAAATGGATTTATTCTGGTTATTTTCTTCAAGACTATAGCTTTATATATTTAATTACGCGTGGATTTAATATTTTTCATTTTAGTAAGTCCTCAATGTAAATTGATATTTTTCGACTTGTTTAAAATAAAAGAGAGATTTGTTAAATACAAAAACAATTTTGCCAAAAATAATTATTGAAAAAATAACAAACCTAAATTTAAATTCATCGCTTTAGATCTGCAATCATCATTACAGAAAATAAAGATTTCTTGTCAATTTTGTAGTCTTCCTGGGAGTTGGACAAGTTCATGTAGATTGTATAAATAACATAGATGAATCCAAACTCAATTGCTAAGAGATAAAATCATAAAGTCAAAGAGCTAAAAAACTAGTTTATCGATTTAAACTTGCCCATGGTCAGCAGGGAGATCAGAATATTGGTCAGCGCCTCGATGGCATCTCCCGCAAAGAGCTCGTAAAGCCACCACAAAATGAAGAGGACATCGAAGACCAAACCGCAAGCGCACCAAACCAACCAAAATATCATAAGCTCGGGTTTGTGCTGAAATGGGAAAATCAAAGGAAAGTAGTTGATGGGAGGCCCCAGCGATAGTTTTACCCACCAACGAGATGCCAGCTATCATGAGCAGGGTAATACCAACCCAGACATTTAGCATCAACAAGTAGCCCCAATATATCCAAACGTTTTCGCTCTCGTTCAGGTTTTTCCTACTCAAGAGGCCTCAAGGGAATACAATGGTTACATTATTTAAATGTGTACCTTTATTGGCTGCACTTACTGGGCAATGAATTTCTCTGATTTTCTTTTGGTGCTTCAATCGATACGTCCGCGGCTTCTTTTGCCAAGCGACGACGTCGCATCAAATAGAACATTATCAGTTCGAAGAAGAGCACTCCCACAATGTCCATCCATCCAATGGCCATACCAAAGGCATTCAAAGCATTTACCATGCTGAGTTGTCTTTTGCCCAGTCACTCTCCGTTTATTTGTTATTCAAAAGTCTTAGAAAACATTTTCTATGACAAATTTTGCAGCGTTAGTCCCGAAAATAAATAAAATTTTTAATAAACCTTTATTATTTTGAAGCCAGTGGATTTTATTTGTTTAATAAATTGCTTGCCTTTCATTATTCCGACGGCACACAGCAACGAAAATCATGATGCGAAACGTTCAAAAATCAAAACGAAAAAATAAAGATTTAAAACTCAACTTTGCAGAGTTGCTGCTTATTTAAATAAGCTTTTAATTCAAATTTTTAAAAAAGCCTTTATTAAAAATAAAATATTCAAATCTTTAACTTTTAATACTTCTTTTAAAGATAAACTTCCGTTAAAAATGATAGTATATCTAAAAAGCCTTTAGTATATTAATATTTAAAATTCTTTTGAATGTCTTTTATAGAAAAGATTTATTACCTTTCTTTAACTTGACATGGAAGAAAAGGCCAATTTATTTTACATATTTTACGCAAAATTCTTAAAAATAAACAGAATTTATAAAAAAATCTAACCCATTTCTGTGCTCCTCAAGCTCCCTGTTGCTCCTGTTGGCAAAACTTAAACTTTAAGTGAGATGTTTAAGAAGGCTTTGTCGCACCCCGGGGCATCGCCACTTCTTCGCCCGAGTTGCAAATGAGCGCGAAAAAAGTAAATTATATTTGTCAACGGGGATTCCCACGGTCTTCCTCACACACACACAGGGGAAGAGTAATGTGTGTGTTGTGTGCGTGTGAGCTGCCGCCGCACGTATTTCATCAGCGCGGCATTATGTGTGCGTATATATGTACATGCGGTGGTATGTCTCATTTTTCCTCTGCATAAATAGATGCGACAGCCATTGCTGCGAGACTTGGCTGCCATTTCCGTTTCCGCTTTGATACCCTGTCGAGGGTGTCATCAAATGTTGAAGAGATTTTTCGTTTCTCAGATCTCAAAAAATCCTTTCCACTTCAATTTGGATCAAGTAAAAACAGAAAGTTAATATTTAATTTTGTTAGCCTCAAAAACTATACTTTAAAATCTCTGTCAAGTTAGGTAATCCGTTCTATTAAGTAAATTGTTCATATCCAATTCAAGCCACTTTGATTCTTTGAACACATTCACTAAAAAATCTCTTCAATTTTTGATAAATACATATCTATGTATTTTTATTAAAAATATTGGAAATATATTATAAAAAAAAATTTCACATAACATTTTCTATGAAAATGGGACTACAAATTTTCGGTTAAAATCGGTAAAATAAATTGTAATTATTATTTTTTTAAATAAAAATGATCTAACATTCTTTTCTTCGATAGCCAAAAATATTCTTTATATTCGAAATGATTTTAAGCCCGAATACGCTGTTAATGTGGGCCTATGGTGTGGGATTCTTTGATCTACTCAGCGCCGTGCTCTTTTCTATGGTCAGTTTTAAGACGATCTGCAATCGCGTAAGGCAGCACTAATGTATTATACTAAATAAAAACTTCTCAAATCACCAATCATCTCCCCCAGTTAAGTTGGCTGACAATTTTTGCGGTTGTTTTTGGCCTTTTCTGGGTATCGATGATACTGATGCTCCTGGTCGGCATTCATGGGGTATATAAAAGTGGTTCACAGTCGATGGCAGTGTGATGGTATCCTCCGCTTAATTACAGCGCAATCCCAAATGTGTGCGTGCCTGGATTATCTTCTCCTGCCTTGGAATCCTGGTGGAGATGTTCCTGATTTTGTATGCCGTTTTCACCGAGAGCTCTTTCCAAATTGGTCTGGTCAAAAATGGATTGTTGCTGATGCTGGGATTGTGTGAGTACAATATCAACGAAATCGCATTTGCCTTGTCTTTCTATTAATATTGGCTATCTTTCAGGTATTGAGTGCAGTTTTCTATACATAGTTTACCGATTTTATGTAACTTTGGCATTTTGCCAGGCCTGTCACAAAACTATACAGTCAAAAGTGGTTCAACAACATCTTACAGAACCGTCTCAAGACTCCAATCACCAAAGACAAAAACAAGCCAGAGATCAGCACAATAATCGTTTCCAAATCCAAAATCCCAAAGGAAAAATTGTTCAAAACACACCATCACATCCCAGGAAGCTGAGTTTTCTTCAAACTTCTAATAGCAATCTATCGCCATAAAGTGGATTTTTATTAATATTAATTATACAAAAATAAAGTATTATAAATTTACAGGGAATTTGCAGCGTCGCATTCGTTTAATGTGAATGTCCTTATCTTGATTTTTCTTCACTCGCTGCTGAGCAAATTATTTTAAAAGGATTTTATGTTTAACATTGGCACATGCGTGTCTGTGTGAGTGGTTTGTGTAGGTGTGAAGAGGTATGCATCCTAAATGTGATAAAAGTTAAAGAGCTTTGTTCCAGACAAGAATAATGACAAAGGATACAACAACTCTTCTCAAAGGCCAAGAAAAAAAAGTGACGCTTGAAGCAAATATTTTAAATAATTTATAAAATATAAACAAATAGTACTAAAGTTTTAAAAGGACACCTAATTCGTTCCCTTTCGCATTTGTTTTTGTAGTTGTTTAATTGCAGCCTTATCCCTTTTCATACGTTCTTTTGCCTGTTTTTCCATGCGTTTTAAATCCTTGCGATCCAAGGGTTTTTCCCTTTCCTCGTGATGATTTACCTCGCTGCCGCTCTTTACTCTTTGGGGCTCTTTATGTGGCGGTGCCGGAGGACTATAACCAATCATATCCAAATAAAAGAGATAAATGATGTAGACAAAAGTCATTTCCACAGCTGTTAAGGATAAATAATATCAGTAATAAATTATTTATATAATTATTAATTACTAACCCAATCCCACGAATGGCAACACTGTGATCTTTACACCCTCCCAGTTTACCGAAATGGCCAAAGTCAGACCGTAAAGCAGTATTACTCCATCGAGGAGTATTCCCAGACAGGTGAACACCAACCAAAAACGAACCAATCCCAGTTGCCTTCTGTAGATCCCCGCCAATAAAATAATGATTATGAGCATCCAGAAGATGGTGAAGATCAGTGCCACCAATGCTGACCAATTACCCTGGAAATGCCAGAATGTGACCATAATTTCACTGAAAGGAAGAGGTAATCGTCTTACATGCTTGGAAAATACCACTCCTGAGATAATTGCGAATAGCACGGCGGATATGAAGTCCAGCAGAGCGATGCAATAGGCGCAGAGCACTAAATATCCATCAGAATTTGACCCCATTGCCCCAGCTAAGGTTCATCACATCAGTGGGAATGTTGTCTACTAAATCAAAGCCATAATGATGATAAGCACGTACTTGCCAAGAGCAGAAGGAGGAGTGGAATTGGCTGCCTGTTAATCAATGCCGTTTGATTGCCAAAAGTCCCAGGCAGCGTACAGTGGTCCAAAAGGATTGGTGCATGGCTTTATACAGTGGGAAAAATTATAGAAACAAAGGGAAATTACAATGAAAATTATTCTTAATATACCGCAATATATAAAATGTCTTCTAAAATGAGTATGTCAAAATATATTTGTTTTATATATTTAATAACACTTTGTTCTAACTTAAAACATATTATTTAAAAATATCAAACAATTAGTACAGACAGATAACTAATCTTTTGACTGAATTTTATATAGGAAAGACTACTTGCAATCAAAAATATTTTTTTTGAAGGCAATAACTATTTATTTGAAATATTGTTTACCTTTTACTTATAATTTTTATCTAGTTGGCCAACGAATAAATATTTATAACCTGTATTTGTTTTATATAAAATATTATTTATTTCTTTTATTATATTTATCTTCACCATAATTATATTTATTTTCTCCGACCTTCATATTTGTATACAACACCCAAAAAACTAATGTTTAGTGCGTTCCCAAAACCATCATACAATCCAATGACGAGGCCTTGTCGACGAAGATATGATAAGTTTTGCGAGACCATCTGTCTGCTCCTCAATTATGGCATTTGTTTTGTCAGCAGGCCCTGGAGATTGGATTGTCCTGGTCCCCCGTTGGCAACGTGACTAGCTCTCGTCCTCGTCCTTGAAGGCATCAGAAAATAGATGGAAAACTGTGTAAGTCAATTATTTTTATTGTTTAAGAGGGGAAGGAAATTGATTTGGCCCTCCCACTTGGCCGGTAAATTGAAATCCACCGATTGCAAGAAATAAATATATTTTATTTTTTTTTTAGTAATTCATAAGGGATGCCTTCCCACGTGTGAGAATTGAACATAATCAAAAGAGATTTCTTTTTCAAGCTTTTTCTTGAATTTCTCCAAATAAGCTTAATACCCTTCAGGTATGTTTTCAGAGGTATTCGTATTTGAAGTTGTAGAAATTGTCTTTGTTGCAGCATCTCTGTTATAGTCTTCTGTAATTTTTGCAATATATAAAATAATATCCATATAGTATAAAGCATAAATACATGCTTACCATTGCTACCTTCAGAGGCAAAATCATAGTTGCCGCCTTCCAGAAGACAATAGGAATACAACCTCTTGAAATATCTGAATACCAAGTACAAACAAGTGCACTCATAAACTGTTTAAATATTTGGTTATTTTCTTTCAAATAATATCAAATCAAAGACCTACAAATTCCTAAATACAAAATTGTCCAGTGCTTGAAATGAATCTCGTCAAATACAGGAGAAGAACTTACATTCCAAATCAAGAAAATAACATTTGTGACAGTGGCAAAGCCAGAAAAAAGTAACCAAAATACAAGAAGAGTTGGACGATCCTGATAGAAATATGTTAATATAATTTTTTCACTTTTGTATGATTAAATTGATAATTCTTACCTTCAATAGACCTACAAAAAGTCCAACAACGGTTAAAATCCAGGCTACTGTGCTAAGAAAAGCAATTATGGTATACGAATTCGTCTAAAGCATAGTAGTTAAATATTAAAACTTTACAATATTCCCTTTTTTTATACTTACATGCGATATCATGACAGAAACCGAAATAAATGAAAAATAAAGCGAACGCAATAATTCAAATACAGAAATCAGAAAGCACATCCTTAAAAGATTATCCTTAGGAATAGTCCACTCTCCCGTTTCAAATGCCATTTTCTATGAAATATACTTTATCTATTTGCAGGTCTTTATTAATCTCCACAACGTTTAAAAACAAGTATAAAAATTTTATTTGGCTGGAAGAAACAAGGCCAACTAAGCAAGTTTAAAATAAATTTATAAATGGTCTTATTATTTTTTGACTTTCTTTTTCTTTGACTTTGACTTGGACTTTTTCTTGTCATGATTACCACCACCTATTAAAAATTATTAAATCGATTATATATGTTCATAAAAAAAGGTTAGAGCTATCTTACAGCATAAAGTCCTTTTCTCTTTTGGTTTTGCACCCATAATCTTATAATACCGATGTATAAGATAAATGCAGGAGCTTTCGATAACTGAAAGAAGGTATAGTTTAAAAATTAAAAATAAGTTAATATTAATATAGTTTATACTAATCATACATATGCCAAGAAAGACTATCGAGAATTCTTCAAGGCGGTCCCAGTCCACAGTGATGGAAGTCGCAATGCCCCAAAGCAAAAAAAGTATATCAGTGATAAAGCCGGCTAAAGAAAATATAAGCCAAATCCGTATAAAATCAGGCTTGCGCTGATGAGAATATAGTTTTCAAGCTAATTATTTAACATAAGTAATGCCAACAAACCTTCCATAGACCAACAATTAGCATAACAACAATTACAACCCAGAAAATGACACCCAGAAGCGCCAACATAGCAAATACGCTGAACTATTTATTTAAATGGGTTATTTATTCTTAAGTATTTATTTTAATTTAACACCTACCTTATAAATTAATAAAATCATCGCCTGAACGGTGAAATACAAGGCATGTAGCAGATCGGAAACAGCTATGGCATAACATATTTTTGGAAGATTGGAGTTTACAGCTCCTTTTTTAGAGTCCTTTTTCGATTTATGATCGGTGTGCTTTTTCTTTTGCGGCGATTTCTTTTTTGGCGGGTGTTTCTTCTTGTCGGAGGCCATTTTTTGAGTATGGATAGAATGGATTTTTTACATCTGTTGAACATAAGATCAAAGCACTTGGGATTATATTATGTATGTGTAGAAATCCCAGAGAATCATTATTTTGTAAGTAATTTATTTTTAACTTGAAAATGTCGAAAACAAAATAAATATAATATATTATTATAACCTTTTAATGATAATCAGTATTTTAGCTTTAATTTTTCGTATACCCCATCATTATTTCAATACAAAATTATTTTAATAATAAGAAGAAAAAAAATAATGATTTGAATTTTTGTTCAGGCGTACATCATATATATTAAGGATATGCTAAAAAAAACTAAGTGTAAAGACAAAATGGAAAATTAAGCTTATTCTTTAACAATTGTTTTAAAAATATAGTATTTTTTTATTGTGTCAGAAAGAATTAAAATGTGAACAGTTTTAAAATTAAATTTTGAATGTTCAGTGGCTTTAAAACTGTGATCAGCTGACCATACATAATATGGCAGCCCTCTATTGCCATCGCCTATCGATTTGTCAGTGTTGCAAAACGGGTCAAAAGTGGTTTAGGCGGTTGTATTTGTTTATACACCAATTTATTAACCATTATTAATTGTACAAACCGAAAACAACATGCCCATTATAGTAAGGACGTAAGTATCTTGAAATACAATAAAAATAAGGCTTAATATAAGGTTTAAATAAGTGGAAACAAACGCGTAGTTTCTGGTCGCCTGCGAGTGACAGCGTTGCCACCTAATCAGTCATTGTCAGCTCGTTTCTGGCAATCTGCGATTTAGTACGCGGATTTATTGTGAAATTATTTTTTATTTTTGTTTAAAATGGGACCGCCAAAAAAGTCGAAAAAGGATCGCAGCGGTGCTGACAAGTTCGGTGAGTATGGGACATGTGGAAAACAATCGAAATTTGATATAACTTAAGGGATTTTCCTCAGCAAAAAAAAGGCGTGCCGAGGATGAGGCTTTCACTCAACTGGTGGACGACAATGATAGTTTGGATGCCACGGAATCGGACGGAGTTCCGGGTGCTGCCTCCAAAAATGCAGAAACCAATGATGAACAAATCAATACAGATGAATATGGGGCCAAGGATTACCGGGCACAAATGCAACTCCGCCAAGATCACGGCAATCGTCCACTTTGGGTGGCTCCCAACGGTCACGTCTTCCTGGAATCCTTTTCACCTGTGTACAAGCACGCCCATGACTTCCTCATCGCCATCTCAGAACCCGTCTGCCGACCCGAACACATCCATGAATATAAACTCACAGCCTACAGTTTATATGCCGCCGTTTCGGTGGGCCTGCAAACCCATGACATTGTGGAATACCTCAAGAGATTGAGCAAAACCAGTATTCCCGAAGGCATCCTGGAGTTTATTCGCCTTTGCACCCTTTCCTATGGCAAAGTCAAGCTGGTCTTGAAGCACAACAAGTATTTTATAGAGTCACCACATCCCGAGGTGCTCCAGAAGTTACTCAAAGATCCAGTGATTCAGAAATGCCGCCTTATACGCAGCGAAGGTGAGGATTTCATCCAGGGCACTCTGGACGGCAAGGCCATCACACAATTTGGCACAAAGTTGCCTCCAGGAGCAACAGACAAGCCGGCAGAAGATCCTGCCGCAGCAGCAGCAGCTCCTGTTGCCGCAGATGGAACAACCGCAGTGCCCGAGGACATCACAGACTTCTACGAGAAGATTGACAAAGAGGAGGAGGACGAGGATGAGGCAAATTTAAAGACTGTATCCTTTGAGGTTGCTCAGGAAAAGATCGAGGTGATCCAGAAGCGCTGCATCGAGATTGAGCATCCTCTGCTGGCGGAGTACGATTTCCGCAATGATACCAACAATCCAGACATCAATATTGACTTAAAACCCGCTGCTGTTTTGCGTCCATATCAGGAGAAAAGTCTGCGTAAAATGTTTGGAAATGGAAGAGCCCGTTCTGGGGTCATTGTGCTCCCTTGTGGAGCTGGTAAATCCCTAGTAGGAGTCACAGCCTGCTGCACTGTAAGGAAAAGAGCCTTGGTCCTGTGCAACAGTGGCGTTTCTGTGGAGCAGTGGAAACAGCAGTTCAAAATGTGGTCTACAGCCGACGATAGTATGATCTGTAGGTTCACCTCCGAGGCAAAAGACAAACCCATGGGTTGTGGCATTCTCGTGACCACCTACTCCATGATAACACACACACAAAAGCGTTCCTGGGAAGCAGAGCAGACGATGCGCTGGCTGCAGGAGCAGGAATGGGGCATCATGGTGCTGGATGAGGTGCACACAATCCCGGCCAAGATGTTCCGTCGTGTGCTCACTATCGTTCAATCTCACTGCAAGCTGGGATTGACAGCCACACTTCTTCGTGAAGACGACAAGATTGCGGATCTTAACTTCCTCATTGGACCAAAGCTGTACGAAGCCAACTGGTTGGAGCTGCAGAAGAAGGGTTACATTGCACGCGTTCAGTGCGCTGAAGTGTGGTGCCCCATGTCGCCAGAGTTCTACCGCGAGTACCTGACCACAAAAACCTCCAAGAAGATGCTGCTCTATGTAATGAATCCCTCCAAATTCCGCAGTTGCCAATTTCTCATAAAATATCACGAGCAGCGAGGCGACAAAACGATTGTCTTCTCGGACAATGTGTTCGCCTTAAAGCACTATGCAATCAAGATGAACAAACCTTTTATTTACGGTCCCACCTCTCAAAACGAGCGTATCCAAATCCTACAGAACTTTAAATTTAACTCCAAGGTGAGTGCAGTTAATTCTATAAATTTAACTATTTTTATTAAAACAATATCCGATACAGGTCAACACTATCTTTGTGTCCAAAGTGGCCGACACCAGTTTCGATTTGCCAGAGGCCAACGTGCTTATTCAGATCTCCTCGCACGGAGGTTCTCGTCGTCAGGAGGCTCAACGTCTGGGTCGTATCCTGCGTGCCAAAAAGGGCGCCATTGCCGAGGAGTACAACGCCTTCTTCTACACACTCGTCTCGCAGGACACCATGGAAATGAGCTATTCCCGCAAGCGCCAGCGGTTCTTGGTCAACCAGGGTTACAGTTACAAGGTTATCACGCATCTCAAGGGTATGGACACTGATGCAGATCTGATGTACGGCACACAAGAGGAACAGGGCCAGCTACTTCAGTTGGTCCTGTCCGCCTCCGATTTGGATTGCGAGGACGAGAAGCTGCCGGGCGAGCCTGGCTTCCGCCCAGGTGGTGCGGGCGGTACCGTCAGGCGAGCTGGGGGTTTAAGTTCAATGTCTGGCGGTGATGATGCCATCTACTATGAACATCGCCGCAAGAATGTGGGAAGCGTGCATCCACTGTTCAAGAAGTTCAGGGGATAATTTTTTTGTAAGCCGCTGTGAAGCATGAATAAAATTCTGAAAAAAAAGTTAAGAAAATAGTTTGTAATTGCATGGGATTCCTAGTAAATTTTGCGCCCCTCATTATATCTCGGCTCGATATGAGAAATTAAAATCAAGTCGTCTTTTATTTATTTCAGACAAAACTCTGGCAAATCTGATTGGGCTATTATAGAGCTACAAGGCGATCTGGAGGTGAGGAGCAACCAGGACAAGCATGATCAGTTTATTGGCGATCTCTACTACAATAAATATGGCCAACCTGTGAGTTAAAGTCAAATGAAAAACTAATAACCCACGATATTCTTTACTAATGTTTATTTATCATTGCCAGATTCTCATCATTGGCCATCACATCCTTCAGGGTCGCGAACAAAAGTTAGATAAACCATTTGCTGTGCTGGAAAAATCAAAAAGCAATGAAGGAGAACGACTCTTGGATACGAGCATGGCCTCTCAGGATGTGAGCATGCTGAATGCCACGACGGGAGCAGAACGCACTGTGCTGGATCACACGATTGCCCAGGAGCACAAGAGTCGTCAGAGAACAGAGTACACCGTCCGCGCTGTTTGCACCAAGAAATTAATTTTTAAATCGCGTCCCAAACCAATTATAGCCAATGTTGCCAAGTCCGTTTAAGTGTCTTTTAAAAATATAGTTTTATTCGCTTTTTATGATAATAGATTAATAAGTAGACTATTAAACAATTTCCATTTCACGTTCGATGCCCACAAACTTGAGCTGCTCTGTGGGTCCGTATCTGTAGTCGAAGAACAGCTCCTCGCCGGGCTGAATGGCCCGCTTGGCAAAGATGCCGATGCGATGGTCGCCGGTGACCATCATCACCTTAGCATAGCAGTTGGGATTAATGGAATGGTTGGCGAATCTTATCTTGTTTCCCTTTCTGGTGGCATCCACAACGAAATCGTTGTTAAGATTGAAAAGGAACGAGCACATGTACTTGTCGTAAACTTTTCCACGACGATCGGCTTCGTCTTGGGAAATTATCTCTCCGCAATATTCGGAGATGAACTCATTCTTTTGGGCGCCCTCTTTGAGGAAAATACCCCAGCCGGCAATGTCGGAGGGGGCCATCAACAGGTGTTTGTCTGGAAATAGGGAATTACATTAATTAGCATTGAAAAACAACTTTAAAAACTAGTTTCTAATACAATACAAATTAAAACTTTAAAAATAGCATTCAGTATGACTCATAGTATTAATCCATAAAGATTTCTAATAAATATAAGCTCTCTTTGGGGTTAAAATATGGAATATAAATATGCAATTAAATTCCTTACGCAGTCCCCGCTGCACGCACACATTCTTGCACGTGATCTTGGTCAGCTTGAACTGATCCGCTCCACAGGCCTGGCAAAGATCTGGATCACACTCGCGCACAGCCAAGTAGCAAGGACACTGCTTCGTGTTGCACTGCGCTTTGCATCGGCAGCCTGGGAAGCGATTTTGGCAATCGCTGCTACAATTGCAGAATTTCTCACAGAAGTTCTGCGTTTGAATGCAGGAGCAGTTCATGTCGCAAGGATGCCCTGGATGGTCGCAGGGCGTGTAATTGTAAACGTGATTCGATGACGAGTCCTTTTTCAGCTGAATCTTTCGGCAGTGCAAGGACCAAAGGCGTTGCTTCTTCTTCTTCTTGCGTGGCGGGGTGAAGTCCTGGCGCAGATCCTCGAAACTGAACTCGGCGTCCTCCTTCTGGGCAAACTCATACACCTGTCGGCAGGTCTTTGTGAGCATATTGTGGGCAATCGCGCAGTAGTTCTTTAAATAAACTTTGTGCAAAACACGATAGAGCGCTTGGTCAGCGCCAGTCCAGACGCACTGCGTACTGGTGATGTTCATCATGCCAGCTGGAAAAGTAGAAAAGTATAAATATCTTGGAATAATTATTGTTAAAAGCTAACACTCACCCATTATTGAGTTAATCTCAGCCACGGCAGCGCTATTTACAGTCAAACCATTATCCTTGCTGTTCTCATGGCTGAAGTCCTTGTTGCTAAACTGGCTGTTGCTGTCATTGCTGTCCTCAGAACTGGCCTCATTGCAGGAATCAATGGGTGGTGTTTTACTATCGGCCGCCAGCTTTTCCTTCATACCATCCTGTAATTTAATAAATGAACATGGTATTATAGATATGCTGTTTGGATATCTTTCAACACATTTAATAATTTTATCTTTGTTTAATATAAACTTACAATCAACATATAGCAGGAGTTGCTGCAGGGGTCGGCAAAGGTTTTCAACTCCGGATAACGACGCTTTTGCAGATTGGGACCAGCATGTCCCTGCAAGCCTGTGAATAGAGAGCAGCGAAATTAGAAAAATCTCATAGACCACAGATCACTTGATGTCCATGAAACGCTTTTGGATTAGCATGAGGGTAATCGGTTACTTTTCGAGAGAGAGGTACAGAAATGGTCCAGGCAAAGCCACACGGAATGAGGTGAGCAACACCAAAGAATCAATTTAGACACATGACAAACATAGCCAATTATCCACAGATATGAGGGATTATTATATATTATATTCATAGACAGCGAGATGAGGATGCGGAGGCGTGGACGGGCTAACGGCATGAGAGTGTGTGCGTGTGGTTATCGAAACAACAACTACAACAACGACTCACCCTGCACATGGTGACCTAAATTGCAATTAATTCAATACAACATTTTCGAATTTCGTTTTTTTTTTGGGTTTAAGAAATGGTACAGATTTTTTTGGCAAGAATAAATTGTTTCCAAACAAGAAAAGAAAAGCAAAAACAAAACGTAAAGTCATTAGGTAACCCAGCTGGAAGAAGTTCCCACAGTTAAACTTACGGTGCAGGAAGCAATCGTATTTGAAGCATCGCCGACAGAAGAGTGTGTGGAAGGAGTGCATCGTTCTTTCGCGGGTCACACTCTCGGCCTTGATGCCATCTATGTTGGGCGTGCACTCCTGGGGACGCTCCGGATCCTGGTGTTCGGTGAGCTCAATATACCTGAAAAAAGGTATTATAATAAGTAAAGTAAGTAAAAGTTTCCCGGGCGTTAAAGAAATCTTTTCCGACCAAAAACTATATATGTAAATGATTTTTTAAGTAATCTGGCATCTTAGTTTTTAAAGCTTCATATCTAGTTTAAATTTTAACAATTTCGATTAACCCTCTTTTAAAGCAGTTAGTTTCTCAATTTACATACTTCTCTTTGAGCTCTTGGGCAGTCCCTTTATCTGGAAAGTTAGCGCTGATGGCCTGGAAAATTATAGGAGCAGGAAACGGCAGCTTGTCCTTAACATCATCCACAACTGGTTTAACATCGGCGCCCTCGGTGGCCTCAGCTTCCTCCTTTTCCTTCTTCTCCACCACTGGAATATCGCCTTTACTCTCGGTTTTCTCAAGTTTTGTGTGAGATTCGCCTTCTACATCCACATCCTCATCCTCATTCCCATCTTTGGGTTTCACAGATGTCTCCGTCTTTACGGATGTAGATGTTCCCGGAGTGGCTTCCTCCAATTCCTTGCTATAGGAACGCATGAGGGCATGCACCAGTTCCACAAAGATGGCATCATCCATGAACGACGGATCCTTATCGCCATGTACCTTGCCATCGTAGTTCTTGATCAGTTCTTCGATAAACTTGCCATCCTTATCGAGGACCTCGTCGCCCATGTAGGGAATATTATGCAGCACCGTCTCATCCTCGACCATGAAATTCTGTTGGGTGGGCGCCCACGTGTACATGGTAGGAATGGGAGTTACGGCGTTGATCACGCAGATCGGAATCTTCTGCGGACCACTGGGAATGCCATTGTAGCTGGTCACTTCCGCTCGCTTCACGCAGTCCACATGCGGCGGATCGTAGGGTTTAGCCTGCCAAACTTTCGACTCGCAGTACAGATCTTGTACATTATGATTGTGCTCGTCCCTGGGGGATACAGATTTGTATAGCTTCGATTTCAGACTTCTACCTTCTCGTTCCCGCGCTTACCAGTTCTTTATCCACGCCTCCTTGATTTCGTCGGCGCGTTTGTGGCGCTTCTGCTGCCTGATTTTGATATATTCCGATTTGACACGCCTCTTCCACTCCGGCGGCACCTTGGTGGTGTTCATAGCGTCACTTAATCACTTCAACTTGGTTGCATTAACGGGAATAAATAATTTTACAAGGTTTATTTTTCACGACCGCCTTTTTTCGCAACAGCTGCATCGGTGTGACCGTTTGTCTTTCAGAAAAATCCCCTAATCGCATAGACATGGTCATTTTGTCGTCATTATGTTGTTTTATCTTAAAATTATTGCAGTAATCACAATCTATTTATAATATTGAGCCAATGAAAACCGTCTATATTTATAATATTTCCATATCAAATAATGTTAATTCATAAAGGGTTGGTAATAGTAGTAACCTACCCCTTTTTGACACTTCCATGTTTTTTAGTCTTGACTAACGCTTTCAACCCTTAGTGTTGGCTAACGTGGAATATCATCAAAAACATAAAAAAAGGAAAGCTATGAGAATCCTATTAAAATCTAGGAAATTTCGCAAAAATATATAAACTGGACAAATTCAATCGCATAAAGGCGGCCACGAGCATCGAGGAAATGGAACCATCAGCCTGCGAGGGTGAGTTCACGCAAAAAACGCGGAAAACGCGCATTCCACTGACTATGTTTACCAACTATACCTGCGTTTGTTTTTGTTTGCTCTGGTAAAGATCTCAAGGCCTTCGAGCGGCGCCTCACTGAAGTGGTTTCATCGTACCGGCCCTCGACGTTCCGCTGGCGCAGTAAGTTAAACCCGAAAAACTCAGAACGGGAGCAGTACGGCCCGTAATAACAGTAGAACTTCTTGCAGTTGTCCTCTCCGCCATGTCCATGTGCACGGCCATCAGCGCCTGGTACTGGTTACGGGATCCACAAACCACCGTCGTACCGCTGACCGAGTCCCTCTGGATCCATCCCATCTTCACAGTCGCCACCCTGACATTGAGTAAGAGCCCCCAATAAAAGTAGTGTATTTTGTACCTAGGTCACTTCGCATAGTCATAGGCCACGGTCATGAAATTTCGGTTTAAGTATGCGTTTTAGTATTAGGAAAATAGAGGGGGTTCAACAATACCTTATAATTACATTATTATTGGTACATAAAAGTATTATATTCGGCCTTGCGATGACAGTATGATTTCAAAGTTCATCATGTATTATTACTTAGTGGACAAATAGAGAGTCATTCTTACATAATCACTCCTTGTAATTCTCTGCGAGAGCCAAACCAAATACTAAGACATAAAATATAATATGTTAAAATGTGTAATTATACTGTGTGAGAAACCAATTGACTTATGATTCTTTAACACCTGGACAAAAAATAATAACTTTAGTTTTTCAGAGACCAGCCTTAAATTAAATTAAAACCATAATAAATAGTATAGTTTTTTCTTATCACAAACGATTTCTGCTAATCAAATATAATTTCAATTGGAAAAATGTTATTTCACCACAATATAGATTACGGGTAAAAACCTTAAGACCATTTTGTTTTAAAGCGATTATCTTATACAGTGCTGATACCAACTAGAGTACAACATGAAATTTAAGGGATAGTATAAACTAATCAAATATGTGTTATTTTAAATTAAATTTCATGCTTCTTCTGTACTAAATATAGAACTCTTTTTAATCTTCCAGTCGTCCTTTTCATCCTGGGCATACAGAAACTGGTCATAGCGCCCCAGATAATCACCTCCCGAACGCGAACTGTACTGGGAGATTTTAATATGAGCTGTGACGACACGGGGAAGCTGATATTAAAGCCGCGCCAGAGTAACAACAACAGTACATGAGCACTGGCCCCGCTTCCAGGACATTTAATTAGTTAATGCTTAGTTTTTTTCCATTCTCTGCCCTCTATTTGTTGATTCGGACACCCTCGCTTTGTAAGCGTAATTTTTACGTACCCCCTTTTCTCCTTTCGCCTCCTTTTTTAATTATAGAAGCTCCATTGTACAAAAAAAAAGAAAAGAAAAAACTCAATTGTTAAGCTTTATGTGTTTCGTTAGATGGCGTTACCTATCGCTGCCAAATACAAGCCACTTTTCAATATCAATTAATTTATAGCTAATGAGATGCCCTTACATTGTGCAACGACAAGTGTTTTTACCCATTTGGAACAGTTTTTAGGAAGCTGAATTTTGTATAAATAGGCAGTCTGAGCTGTACCAGAGCATCAGAAGCAACCGAGCCATCTGTACAACAAGCCAGCTTAATCATGAAGTTCCTACTCCTGTGCACTCTCATCCTGGGCCTCGCCTTTTTCATGGCTTCTGGCAAGGATTACAATGGCTAAAACTCGGAATTAACTCCTTATAACTGATCCTCCTACACTTTCAGCTCTGCCCCACACCAACGACAACGAGGCCCCGATGAATGAGCATGACCATCACCATCACCAAGTGGTTCGCAGCATCCACTACGCCGACGATGAGAAGGCTCCGCCCAAGCACGATGATGTTGCCTGCTGCGGCTAGACTACTAGCTAATAAAGACGAGACGGCAATTTCAGCCTTCTTAAAACGTCTTCAAGTTTAAATAAAGAGCAATATTGAAAAATGTACTAAAGACAATCTTCTTAATTTTAAATTTACGGGGCTTTCATGATAAAAAGGATGTTAAACATCCTATACATAAAGGAACTTGAGATAAATCTCAAGGTATTACATTTTAAATAGAGAACATACTTGGTTTCTGATGTCTAGCTGATTTTTGGTTTAATAAATTTTCAAATCAATAACCATAATACCACTTCCTTTACATTCCCACAAACTATACATTCAACACATAAAATCCAAAAATATAATATTAGAAAATGTTAAAACAATTTTTACACACCCCATTAAAGTACAAACATTTATCTGGTTGATTTTGCGTGATATTTATTTTGATTCAGCATTCTCTATAGTTTTTTCTTCAGTTTCTTCTCGCTCTTATCGCATATATAAATCTTTATTTAGTTTGTGTGATTTTCAATGTATTTTTTTTTTGGTACAAATTGTATGCGTTAAGTTTTGCCATTTCATTACTCTTTTATTTCTATTTGTAAATCTTAAAAATTATTATTATTGCGCAGCTCAAGTTTATTTTGTAGATTTGTTTAAATACGTTTATCAAAGTTGACGGCGTGGAAATATATATAAATGCATCCGCTTTCTGCTTGTGGTTCAGTTGTGTGTAGGCATTTTAGTTCGTACAATTCGTTTGTTATAGTAATCAATTAATTTATGCATTATTTAGATCTTTACACCTCGTTCTACACAACACGTCATGTACAAAAAAATAGTCTAGATTTGATTTAAAAATGTAATTGTGTATTTATAATCTCTGCTTTAGTGAAATTTAGGATTTATCTTTCATATCTTCCCAACCATCAGTTTAAACTTTGCGCTAATTTGTTGTTAGGTTAATTGGGTTTCTTTCATTACTTAAAATTAGGGCTAGATTATCAACTAAATATTGATGCTGCTGATATATGCGTCCCACTTCGTTACGTTACGTGGAGGCTGGAGTCTAAAACAGTACGAAACAAATGCTGGAAATGCACACAGGGTAAAAATAAAACTAGAGGCTGCCTCCTGCTAGCACAACACTCGCTCACAATTTTTACAAATAATACAGAAGCCTACTAATTACATAAATAAAGTAAAACCATTTAAATCGATACGCATACACATAGAAATTAACGTTAATGAACTCTCCTCCCTTCGATCCCCTCCGCTATTATGCGGCCAGCAGGCGCTGTATGTTTTTCGGCGTGTTCTCCCCATTCAAGTGCTTCGTCGTATATCGCAGAGCATTGAGCAGCGGCTCCGCCTTGATTGCCGGCTGCGCCTGCAACAGGCGCACGCACCCCTTCACGTCCACATGGGCGCCCCGCACGAACGCCCCCTCCGGATGCACATGGTCGTAGAGGATCACCAGGCCAACCATCACGCGAAGCACCAGCATTTTCGTGTCCTCGCGCTCGATCTGTTGCACGAGTTTTCTGCAAAATTCAGAGAATCGATCAGAATTATACAAATATTTAATTTGGTTTTATTCAACTCACGGATTGTCCAGCATCCTAAGGCACACCTTGGCCATGGTGCCCAGTGTTTCCGTCGTGTTCTGGACATCATCGGAATTATCGTTGACAAACTTTGAGGTGGCATCGCTCAACACCTTGAGCATGGGCGTGGCGTGGGCGTAGAAGAGGGACATCCGGTTGGCCAGCTCAGTGCTGACCAGCATGTTCTCCGTGGAGTCCACTCGTTGTCTGCTGACGATGCGTCTGTAGTAGCTGAAATCATTCTGTATGGCGGGGGTTTTCATCTGAAAATTTAAGATTATAAACGCTATTAATTTTTTTAGAATTTATATATATTAACCGAATTATTTAATCAACTTTAGAATCTCTGGGGGTTCGAATTTCTCTATTAAGATACACAGCAGTATAATATTTTCTAGTACACATTTATAAACCCTAGCTTGTGCTTTTAAATCATCGGAATTATAATATTTTGGACTGGAAGTTAAATCTATACTTTCGGGGTGTATCTGGGTCAGTCCTTTCCCATCAGTTTAGTTTGAAACATCCGTCAACATGAGTAACAAAAACACTAAAGGTTTTAGGGGCATATTCAAAAAGATGTACAAGCGAGAAGTGCATGAAGGGTAAATTAAAATATCGTTTATAGTTTTCTAAACAACTTTTCGGGATGTTGATTCGCACCGATCGCAGTGAAAGGCAAAAAAGCCATATCGTGGACAGTTCGCAGTCGATGAAGGCGGAAAAGGACAGTTCGCATAATCTTAAGGAGCGTAAAGAGGATCACAAGGAGCATCAACGGGGACTTAGTGAACGTAAAAAGGAGGATGTGCGTGAACGTAAACGGGAACAGGAGCTGGAGCGTCAACGACGAAAGGAACTCGAGCGGGAAAAGGAGATGGAAAGGCAACGTCAGCTGGAATGGAAACAGGATCTGGAGAAAGAACGCCAGCGCGAGAGGGAATTGGAACGAGAACATCCAAAACAGGAGCCCTCGACCTCTAGAAAGCCACCTCCCGAAATGACCAAGTTTGACGAGGAATTCGAACGAGACATCGAGAAATTGGAGCGTCAGGTGTGCCCATTGGATTTCCGCTCCAAAACCATGGCCACTATGTGGATAGATAGGCTTCGCAATGCTCCTCATAATACATCCGAAGCTAGGGCCAGAAATGTAATAACGTCCCATCTACTCAAGTGCTGTGGCGACAATATATTCAAGAAGGAGCCATTTAACCATCCACCACCACCCGAGAATTTGGCTACTATTAGGGAGAGAATGGCAAGTACAAACGTATTTAATTAATGTTAAGGAGAATTTTAAATTCAAAACCATTCAGAATTTTTCTCTTTACTCAAAACTACGTGCCAATTTAAAGAAAATTGTATTTATTTTTTAGTTTCTGACGCGGGACAGTATGTGCCATGGTATGCCCGTGGTCAAACAGAAGAACTCCCATTTAACCCAATTGTTCAACGATTCATACGATGGCGGCGAATTCCTGAGCCAGCTTCCCGTGCCTCGCGATGGGGCTTTCTTCATCTTTCACATGCACCCAAATTTATAATTGTGAATTGGCTTTAAATAACAACCCAGCTAAATTCATAATGTAAAAACAGTTTAAACTCTATTATTTTTTGGGAAAAAGAGAAGTGGCTTTCGTCTTTTCTTGTGTAAATTATGTATATATAAATAACACTATATAATATTTAATTTTTTTTATGAATCAACAAATTTTTGTTTTCATTTCATGCTTTATAAATAATCATTTAACGTTCACAGATGACAAAAACTATTAGCGATAAATTCGTTCATAGAAAGAGGGTATTAAATTATTTTCTATAGAGCAAACCAAAAAAGATCAGATCTGTAGATTATACTATACATATTCCTCATAGCAAGTAACTTTACTAGCAAGTTAATAAAGCAGTCAGCACCTGTCAGGTGTGCAGCTATCGTTTTCAACACCCGCTCTTGTTAACCTCTAATTACGCCTGACTTCAAAATCTAATTACTAATTACGCGGTACGTGACACCTCAATTTACCTGTTGCCCGTGCGGCGAAACAGTTTTCCACTCCGGGCCAGGCCCAAAACAACGATGCCGCACTTAAGTTGTCAGGGCTGGATAGAAAACGTGCGTGAGAAAAAAAACAAACAACTTCAGAGATTCGCCGCCGTAAAATTTTGAATCAGGTAAAGTTGGGTTGCTCATCCAATCACCTTGACAGAGGCGCTGCAAACGAACATCATGCACTACTATACACTACTATACTATATAGTGTCGAGAGACGGTTGCGAAACCTCATATAAATACGTTATTAGCATAAATCGTTCTGAACAGTCAGAAATGAAGCCGCAAACAGGACGGATCGTCAAGAGCAGTTCCCTGAGCTTGGTAAGCGATGCACTTCCACTTCTATTACTCGACACCTGAGATGATTAATCTATTATTGAATATTTTTAGCTATATGCATTACTGCCCCTGATGATAGATGCAGTTTGTGGGAAAGCTCAGTATGCATCACCTTATGACAATGCTGCTTATGCAATTCCCACAACAAACTACGCCCAACCGTATTCTTCTCCAGAAGTGCAATCCATATGGTCTGGTTCCCCAATAATAGTAAATGATAATCAGTATGGTGCCCAGGAACAGCAGCAATATCCAAATGTTAATGGTTATTATGGAGGGGAACAACCATATAGACAACCTTATTCAAATTGGCGGAGGGAGGAGATACCAGCAACGCGTGCTCCAAATCATAACTACAACAATGTGCCAGGATACTTTTACTACCAACAGCAGGAAACAACACCATCGCCACCTCTCCAATATCCCCAATCTATTACATCCCGATTTCAACCCAATCCACAATTCAATTCGGAACTGGACTCCAGTGACTCTCGTCGCGAGGAGGAGCAAGTGGTCCAAATTGGAGGCAGTCGCTCCCTGGCCACCAATAACCATCAAAACATCTACAATAACAATGAAAACTTCTATGAACCCGCCCAACCCTGGCGGCGTCGTGACTTTCAGGCCAAATATGCCCAACATTACGCCGATTATTTGCGTAAATATCCAAGACGCCTGCAGCCAGTTTACAACACCAGCGAAGATTTCGATGAGAAATGAAGGGAATACTCTATATATTTTAGTCTGTGGAAAAGCCAAATTGAATAAAACCCCTCAAGAGCCATTTGGTTTTTGATTGAAAGCGTGCCAAGAAAACAATTTTGGGTGTATTTTGGACAGATCAATTGCAGCCGATAAAGTAAAGGCTGTAGCTGAAAAGTCAACACATATTTACAATATTTAAAAAGATTTATATATTGGGCGAATGATTCAATTTCTTAGTCTTTATACATATTTAAATTTATTTTCAAAAATGTGGAAAATCTTTTGCTGATACACCCACAAAACTAAATGACATAGAATATTGTCAAAATTATTAAAAACTGATCTAAAATAATAAAAGAAGGCATTGTCTGATATTGTGGGTAATTTGAATAATTTTTGGGTAATTTACGTAAGCCCAATGAAGTTTTAATACGACCAATTTCCTTAGAACGTTTTAATATAATCTTTACTTCCTTAATCCTAATAAAAAACAGCTTATTCCTTCTCAGCAACATAAAAAGTACTATTAGAAAGCACACCGTAAAGTGGCTCTCGATGTCAGAAGATTTTTTGCAATAAACTCGACATTAAAACGAAGCCAATTACAACCAAAGTCAATAAATTGTGCAGCATACTTTGGGGCCCACTGGAAACAAGGCAACAAAAGTGCACAGACAATGGTCTTTATTGAGGAAAGGAAGTAGCTGTTAGTTGGGAAGCACGTCTGGGCTATATACACACACAACTTTTACATGGGAATCTCGGTGGGCCGGGCAGCTGACACTTTGAGCACACAATGAACGTGCAGTTTACAGCGTTTAACATCATCATCATCGGTATTATCGTCGTCACCATCATCATAATCATCATCAACGGGGGCAAAACTTGCAGACACTAGAAATCAGAGAGTAGAAGCCGACGAAGGCGATGACTTGGCCATCATCCCATCATCCCATCCCTACCAGAAACACCTCCCAACTGTCCCAGATCTCGCCTTCCTCGCTGCCATGTACATTCTCCGCTCCCCAATCGATTTGATGAAAGTTTCGCCAAACGGAAGCGAGCCATGGGAAATGCGCCATTCACAGGGATTTGCCATTAAACAAATCGATTTTGTTGGCTCCGGAGTACGGACAATAAACCGACATATTCAACTGCCACAGAAAGTGGTGTGGCTAAAGGTAATGTTTTAACCCAGTGCGGATGCATTTGTTTGCATATTTCATACTATTGATATTGCTAACAACCAAGGTAAAACTATGGTAATGTATTCAAGTTTTATTCTCTGAAGAAATCAATTTTATATGCTGTTTTTTCTGACATTTTGTGTTTATGGAATAAACAGGTCATCATTTATTTATTTTAATAACGTTTTCTCCCACCTTTTGTAAAGTAATTAAAAAGCAAATATTCTACAGTTTTATTTACTAAAAAACCATTTAAATGATTCCTAATTAATTTAAAAATTTAAAATGTATATTCAACTTTAACTATAAGCGAACAAAAAGAATTGCATATTTAACGGCGGTAAACTAATTATTCTGAAGAGTTCAGAAAATTAATTTAAAAGATCTATTGATCATTTAGCACATATCTATCAATCTATTTCAGTATCTCTCCTACATTTTTTGTATATATATAATATTAAAATTTTTTTTAAATACCTCAGCTCTGTGCTATTAAATTGACCATCACTGTTACCCCACCGAAGCGACTTTATCACTTTACAACTTCATCCGGCCATCGGACGTTTGTCGTGGGCCATTTGGCTTGCGTGTGCGTAAGTGGCTACGACGATGCTCAACTGTGGCTCGAACGAATGCACGGATGGCCTGAACGATTTTTCATCAATGGGCCGCAGCACGCGCCCGTCTTGGCCAGTCTGTCTAGTCTGTCCAATCGTCCAATTGTCAGTCAGGCAGGCAGACGGCAAGCAAAAAAGTCAGTCAATTAAAAATGCAACCACGCGCACAATGAGTTGGCAGTGGGACTTGGTTTGGCTTCATTTGACTTGGCTTTTAGATATTGCTTTGCTTTGGCTTGGCTTGCCTGTCGACAGCGCCCACATAAGGTAAACAAACAGACAAACTGGCAGTGAAGAAGACAGAATTTAACCCACTAACCATATAATAAACTGACGAAATAGAAGTTAATAAAATCTGGTTGAGTTGGTACATACGTAATTTTGCATAAATTTAGCTTTTGGAATGTAAAGATTTACTAAAGTTGAATACTGGTAACTTTGCGTGTAGAGCTATCACCTATGATAAATTGCTTTTTTTACTTTATGATGAATTTAATGATTTTAATTAACAAGCTTATTTAAATATGATGGTATAGAGTATATTCTAAAAAAGTTTATTTAAGCTAATCGCAAATGAGGCTATGAATAAGCTTTGACAATATTATATCAATTCATTTAATTATTTACTTGTATATCTATTTAAAATAAATCTATTATTAACTTCCGAACAAACAAGTGGTCATAATTAAAATTATTTGTTGTTCTTAATTATACCTTTGTCATACGGAAACCTTTTCTTGTCAGTGTTTTGGTTTTTCCACTACCAGTAATTAATGGGTTAAACGTGGTGGGCGTTGTACCGCCAAATATGGACTAGAGCTTGTAACACCCAGCTGTCAAAGCGACTCACTCACCTTGTACTCGTCGAACTTCAGCACGAACTCCAAGATCTCGGCCAGCTGCTTGACCAGTGCCTGCTGGGTCTCCAAATGCTGTGTCGGATTGAGCTTGCCGCCCACCAGCTGGCCCAGCAGCTTGGGCACAATCTTGTCCAGCTCCATGGAGTGCTCGTAGCAGCGCTTCAGCTTGTTGACCAGCGGCAGCACCGCCGCCCAGGCTTTGCCCGTCACCTCCGGCGAGGGATCGGCGATGGCTTCTCGGATTTCCTTGCCGGCACCCTGTAAAGATTCGCAGGAATAGAGGGGAAAAACGTCAGTCAATACATTCGACTCGAAACTGGACTAAATGCGAGTTTGGCATGCGAACTGTAAACGATTTCTACACTCAAAAACTCTGGAAATTTGTGAATTTCCTATTCAATTTCTTAACCAAGTGAAAATCGTATTAAATGTTTGTTTTTTTATAAAAAGCATAACATACTATAATCCTAATTTAATTGTATTTAGAGTATATCTTACTAAACTAAGAAATATTTGTTTGTTATTTATTATTTTAGACTATTTTGCAAATTTCAAATAAGTTTTTAAATTGATTATCAATTTTCAGGAAATGTACTTGTTATTTCGACATGAAAACTTCTCCTAAAATGTATTTTATTGCGGTTTTTTTCCGGTAGAAACTTTGTTTATCGTATTTTCTCAGTTTTTCTAAGTGAGCTTTTTCAGTGGTTTAGTTTTTTATTGGCCTCTAAAAAAAAAACTATGCCTGCTGAGCACATTTCATGCATTTGTTTTATTACAATCAGTGAACTGTGAGCCATTGTGGCCGGCTAGTTTTCATCGAGGAAAACTCGGCGTCTTTATTTCTACGCCACATGCAACAATACAACGTTGAAAGCAGCGTGCATTGACCGGCTCTGTGATTTTTATCGATGCTTTATGATCTACAAAAATAATATAGAGGAAAACACATACGACACGGCACCGGGAAACTGGAGCTAACGAACGGTCATTGCATGATGCGAAAAGTTCATTTTGTACTCGAACAACAATCTGCAAATGGCGTTGATTATTTCAATTGAGGTCTTTTGGCGTTTTTCAAACACATTTTAAGTGGCTAATAATACAGTAAATATTTTATTGGCAAACGGCCATGCAGACTACCGGCGGTTAACGGCCATAAAATTAAAATTAAAGATATAGTTTAAAAGATTAAATTGATATGTGGATTTGATCATTATTATCATTAATTATTGTTATCTTTTAATGTCTCTAATTACGTATATAAATTCGTTCGAAACTATTCTCTCTTCTTATCTTAAAAATAACACATATCAACTGCAAATTTTTTGAAGTACACAATCATAAATTCTATTTGAAGGTCTGCATGGTTATCAGAGCTTTTTTTTAAATACCAAGAACAAGAAATACGTATGTGCCTCAAAACATTTTTGAATGATTAGTAATATTTGTTTACTTTTTCAATATGCTCAAAAACATATTATTTTTGTATATTTAAAGTGTTCTCTGAGAAATGTAAATTAGTGATATTAATTACTAAAATAATTTTATCATGATGTGGTGTTTCTAGCACGTCAGTTTTAGAAATAAGCCTAATAAATTATAGCTTGCCTTCCAATGTTTTGGTCAAACAGCACATAACATAATTAGATAATTATATACCCCCATCTGTTGTTGTTGCGTGTCTAACCGATTATACCATATTGGCATACATTAAATAGAATTAAATATAGCCAGCCCCGCCCACAATTCGACCCAAAACTCCGCTATTGAAAACATGCGAGTTACGCACAGCTCAGTGGACTGCGAAGTTCAAGCTCGGTGTATTAGAGTGTGGGTATCTTGCTAAAGAAGTAAACGAGTGTTATTTTTGGTTTGCACACCTCTACGTTATATAATGGACCAGCACGTGTTGTGTGTTTATAATTAAATCGCTGGCCATATCAACAAACACTCAGACGGAAGGCAAAATGCAGAACTACACTGAAAGGTAATGATTAAGGGAATATGTTTTAATATAACTTATATAAGGTCCTAATAAATACAAAACAAAAAAAATTAACAACAAATGAATATTTATACCCCTTAATTGCATAGTTAAAGGAACTGCCATTAAACAATAGATTAAAAAATTAATGTTACTTGTATTTATACATTACGAAATTAGGAAGTTCGAATAAATGCAAATAATTTGTTCAGTGTAGAAGACAAGTCGCCCTCATTCCCGTGTATTTTGCCATGAGTACTTTGGCATAATCATAATAATAAGAACGCAACTGTCTGCAGCCAGCGTTGAGCAAACACTGCATCTGTGATGTTTTGGCTTTTGTTTTGTTTTTTATTCTCCGGTTCTGTGCTGGCATTTCTTTTCACTCTACATAATTTACACCTGTCTGTAAGTCAAGATCCCATGTCCTTGGCTGCTGCACTTGAAGCATCCCAGAATGTTT